CAAGCTGACCGGCTCCCTGAGGCGCGGCGGGAGATGCCTGAAGCGGCAGGGCGGCGGCGGCGGCGGCGGCGGCGGCGTGGGCACCATCCTGAGCAACGTGCTCAAGAAGCGCAGCTGCATTTCCCGGACCGCGCCCCGGCTGCTCTGCACCCTGGAGCCGGGTGAGCGCTCGGCTGCGGAGGGGGCGCTGGAAAGTCGCGTGGCACCCCCGGAGCTGGTGCTGCTCGCGTCTCTGCCTCAGCTGGACTCGGGCTAGGCCGGGGAGCGCCCGCGGCCGCCCGGTGCTGGACACCGCGGCTCGGCGCAGGCGGGGCTGGGTGGGCCTGGGAGGGCAGAGTGCACACCAGGGCCGGCGGCCTCCCAGGGCGCGGAGGACCGGCTGCTCCCGCCGGCTGCCCGCGGACCCCCACCCCGCGGCCTGTGTGCGGTCCAGCCCAGCTGGTGCCGGAGCTGCTGCTGGTGAGCTGTGCGCTCGGCCTTCTCCGCGTGGTGGGGAAGTGCTGGCGCCTGCCCGGCTCATCAGAGGCCCCGCCACCATTTGTGCTCCGGGCTTGCAAGAAGCCAGACCCTGAGAGAGGTGTGTGAGGCGGAGAAAGGCACAGGTTTATACTTCGGGTCGGAGGGCAAGGCAGTGGTTGTGAAGGAAAAATCGGGTGCATTTTCCTGAGGGTCCCTTCGGTGTGAGTGCCGGGGCCAGCTCTCCTGGGGCCTCTAATTTGTGTGGTCGGGTGGGGAGCGGGCAGGAAACACTCCTGCAAGGAGAGATCCTTTCTTATGAAGTCGCGGAGCGCGCCTGGCCGTGCTAGGCGAGGCCCTCTCTGCTGTCAGCCTGTGTTTACACATCCTTGCTTCTCCAGACTGCATAACTCCGCGTCTGCTCCACCAGCGGCATCCCTCTCCGGGGTTTTGTGAGCCTGGCGCGGGCGCCTGGGCATAGAGCTTTTTGGCAAGGGGTGGCGGCTGTACTCGCACCCGTGCTTAGCGCTCGTCTGTCCCTGGAGTGGCACCAGCTGGGTTCCAGGCGGGTTCGTCCTCCTCCGACACCCGCCTCCCAGCGCGTTCCGGGACCTAGTATCCTGAGGCTGCAGGGGAGAATCTGCCCAGGCACTGATCCCCAAAGGGTGGAACGCGTCGCTGCCTTTCCGAACCTCGTGGTTTCTTTGTTTTTCTCCCCAAGGAAGTGTCTGGTTGCAGAGACTGTAGTATTTATTCGCCGTCTGCCTTTACCCTTAAAAAAAAAAAAAAAGACTCCTTCCCGCGTTAAAAGTGTTTTGTATTTCTGAATCCAGAACAACTGTGATTATCAGATGAAACATAAACCTTCTCCCCTTACTTATTCAGTTAGAAGAAAAGAGATGAAAATGACCTGATTTCAGCTTTTGCACGCAGGCGGTGAATGATCAATTCCGGTTAAATCCTGTGACTCATTTTTGACCATGAGAAAATAACTGTGGTTTTGACTAGCCCCAGCCGAGTTTTAGCCCAGCGAGGCAATCGGCATGATGCCCAGCAGGTGCACTGAGACCGTCAAGGGAGCATATTCGGTCATACACACAGGGAATCCGAGGCTTTTAGGTCGAAAAGAATAATTCGACGCGGGACCGAATTTCCTGGTCTTTGTTAAAATAAAGCAAACGTCATGACTGTAGGCTCCTCCATTCAGCACCCCGCATCTGGACAGCAACCTCACAGACACTTTTGTGGCCATTGTATTGTTGCAATGCACTGAGGCGGGACTATCACTTAAACCATCTCAGAGCGATGAGAATCCGTGGGGCTACTTAATATACCTTCGGAGAAGAAAAGCTTGTCAGGCAGAGTATGGTTGTGGCCCTGAAGCTTTGAAAAGAAATATCAGGGCATAGATTGGAAGCCTGGGATTCTCTACCACAGCTTGACTTTAGAAATCTAGGACCCAACTCATGTATTCACAGTATTCTTCTATGACTCCAAGAAGGGCCTCTGCATATTGTCATAGGCTTGGGCAAATCAGACACAGCTCTTTTCAGCTTCTTGACTCCATATAGATGTTTTTAAAAAGACAAGTCTACTGTATTATTATTATTTTACAGATTCCAAGCATTGTTCTTATCTACATACCAGCCCCTAAGTGGAAGTTGTGGAGAGGTTTTCAGTATGCCTAGTCTGCAGTTAACATCTTAGAAGCAAAAAGGTCGTCATAAATGACAATTATAAATTGTAAAACTGAATGCTATTGTTAATGTTTGTTGTCTCTTGGTCCTTGAACTTGGTCATTTCATTGATTTTGAAATTGTAGAAAAAAGAATATATAGCATTTTCAGATTTAATTATATTATTTTTTACTAGAATTTAAGTGGGAGTAAAAATTGTCATGTAATTTCACTTCAGTAACAACAGCACATACTTCTAATATGGAATTCTGAATAAAAATCCAATATGAATGAATATAGCATATAGTCTTTATATATTATAAGCATATAGTCTTTATATAGTCTCCTATTTATTTACTTCTATCCATAGATTTGGGATTTGAGTCAAAGAAGTTTATCTAAAGTTGTAGATAACTTGGAATTAGAGTTTTTCAGTTATATTCTTAGCTTATAGTCTATAATTAACCATACAAACTGTTTTATCTTCAATGAATGAGTATATTATGACAGAATTTTAAAACATACGAAAATCTCCCAGTAGGATTGTTAAAATGGATTCATCCATAAGTGGCAAGGCAATGACATTATTTTTATAACTTTTGATGTTCCACTGAAGTTTCCTTAATAGACTTAGTTCATGCATTCTGTATGTCAAACATAGTGTAAGTAGAGAATTCTCTTCCAAAGTTTTATGAATATCAACTATACCATGCTAGGTGATTTACAGTTAATCTTCACAACAGTCTACTGAGAAAGACGTTATTATCCTCATTTTAAAGACAGAGAATTGAGACTGAGGCAGGGTAAATAACTGGTTTGACTCTAGGAACCAGAGTTGAGTGGAAGTCTGTAGGATTCCATGCCTGTGGTATAATTTTTTTGTTCCTGTTTTGCATTACTCCAGACAGCTGTGGAGACCACCATCCTATGTGATAAGCTCCATTCTGTTGCCATAGGATATTTTTCTATTTTAATAATCAATATTCTTACTTTTTCTTTTAACAAAATTGACTAAAATTTAGTAAAAATAAGTGTTTTAAAAATTTTATGATGATTCAATAGAATTAGGTTAATTTTTACTTTTATTTTTCGTATAACTTGTCATTTTCTCCCAAAATAACAGTTATTTATATATTTTTCTTTTAGGAGTTGACACGAAGTTGAAGTTCACTCTTGAGCCATCTTTAGGTCAAAATGGTTTTCAGCAGGTAACTTTATTTTTGGTTTTGAAAATACTTATTTTATGGTATCTACAGGGTACACTGAGATATATTCCCTAAGTGGGAAAATTGGCATATACTTTGATATGCATGAGAAGATGAGTCAGTTTTTAAAATTATAGGTAAATTAACTTATGAAGCTACAAGTGGCCTGGGTTTATACTTGCAATGAAAAATTTTGTGCTTTCTATTAGTGGTGCAAGTGTGAAAAAAAAAGTCAAAAACCATATGTCTATTATTCTGAATCCATAATACACGTTTTGGTTTCTGAACCAGAGCTTCCCGGCTATTGTGTGTGTGCTGCAAATGAGTCACAGGTGTGTTAAGGGTACCTAAGGTTGGGGGGGTGGTTGGGGCAGTCACAGTCCTCAGACCAGTCATTTCTGGCTGGAAGAAGCTCTGACTGTTTACCCCAGTGTGCTGTACAAATTTTATCATACTCTACAGATGTCAGGATGGGAAAAAGGCTGAAAAGTGCTTCTCCAGGTCAATATTATCACTTTGCCAATATTTCTTTTTTGTTCGTAGTGGTATGATGCTCTCAAGGCAGTTGCCAGACTATCGACAGGAATCCCAAAGGAATGGAGGAGAAAGGTGAGGAGGATTTGTAGGGCTAAAATATAAAAGGACCATCACCCTTTCCCTCTTTATAGTGTCTGGAATGTCAAAAAGGATATTCTAGATTTATAATTTAAAACCTGTCTCTCTTCATTATTCATTTGTTCAATAAGTTTTTATTGATTGTCTGTTCTGTGCCAGGTACTGTTCTAGGTATTGGGGATACAGCAGTGGAAAAAAAAAAAAACAGACCAAAGTTTTTGTCCTCGTGGAGCTTACAATGAATAAAATATAAAGTATGTCAGATGGTGATAAGTACCATGGATAAAAATAAAGCAGAGAAAGAAATAAGGAGAGTGTGGAGGAATGGGGATAAGGAGGTGGAATTTTAAATAGCACGGTGACATTTGAATGGGGCCGCAGGAGGTGTGCAGCTACCTGGGGGAAGAGAACTCCCAGCAGAGGAAGGCCCGCAGGCAGGAGCATCTGAGGAGTGTGCAAACGAAAGCCAGAGGCCAGGTGGCTGAAGCACAGTGAAGGGGAAAGCAATTGGAAAGAAGGTCACAGAGGTGATGTGATGGGACCAGGGGGATGGCAGATCATGTAAGACCTTGTGGGACATAATGGGACTTTTGCCCACCGTGAGATGGGAAGCATTGGGAAGTTTTGAGCAGGGGAGTAACACGATACGACTTATATTTTGAATGGACTGCTCTGGCTGCTGACTTGGGAATGTGAGGGACAAGGGCAGGAGCAAGGATACCAGGAGAAGACTAGCACTAATTCAGGCAAGAGATGGATCAATCAGGCTTGTGGTCATGGAGATGGAGAAGGGGTCAGATTCTAGATATGTTTCGCAGGCTGAGTTGACATGAATTCCTGTTGGATTGAATATAAAGTGGTGGAGGGATGTCAACGATGACCTTGAGATTTTGGCCTGAGCTACTGGAAGAGTAGAGTTACTGTTCACTCAGATGGGAGGAGCAGATGAGTGTGTTTGTGTGTATGTATGTGTAGTTGAGGGGTGGTGATTAGATGATTGGTTTTGGATCTGTTACGGTTGAGATGCCTGTTAGATTATCTAAATTGAAGGTGTTGAGTGGGCATTTGGACATATGATTCTGATGCTTGGGAGAGAAGTCTGGCTGGAGATATTAATCAGTGTCACTCCTGCTAAATTATATTCAAATACCAAGACTTGAAATGCTTTCTTAGTATATTAGTTTGTAAACCTAGTCTTAAACTCCTAGAATTTGAACACTGGGGGTCCCTCAAAATATACATTAAAAATGGCATTATGCAATACATCTTTCAGAAACAGCTTTTCAGGACAAAGTAATCAAAGGAGTAAAAATATCCAGTTTCTCTTAAAAAAGATATTCATTATGGGAGCCCATCTGTCAGTTTTTTTTGTCTGTATGAGAGAGGGATGATTTAAAGGCAGAGGCCACTCTGAAAAAAGGCCCGTTCTCCATGAGTGGCCAGGTGGCTCTTGCCCAAGCATAGAGAGCAATTCAGAGCCAAGGATAACAAACTCCTGAGATAATACAGCTAATCCAGTGAATTGAAATAGACTCTGAAATTGTTTTTTGTTTTCTTAACAGTATCCCTCATGGCTGGATCATTGTTTGGTACATGGTAGGAACTCAACAAATATTAATTGAAAGGCCCTACTTGGTACAATTCAGTACAGCAAACATTCAATGAAAAGTAGATTTATGCATGTGGGCTGTGTCTGGTCTGGGATCAGTTCCCATTTTCTTGTTGGACGCAATAACTATTTTTAATAAAGAAAGGTGAAATTATGTCTTTTACTTTAGCATTCTTCTTTATCTATTAATGTTTTAGGTTTGGTTGACCTTGGCAGATCATTATTTGCACAGTATAGCCATTGATTGGGACAAAACCATGCGCTTCACTTTCAATGAAAGGAGTAATCCTGATGATGACTCGATGGGCATTCAGATAGTCAAGGTAATGCCCCTGAGCGTGGCCTGCTGTCCTGCCTCAGAGGGGAGATTCTAGGAGCCAGATGTTTCCTGGACAGAGGCTCAAACCTTATGGTCTGAATATTTTCTGCTTCCTCGTTTCATTAGTTAACAGCCTTTTAATGGGGAACTTTGACTATGCCTTGTCTTCATAAATTTGTATGTTGCCGGTAAGAAGAAAATATTTACATTCATATTCAATTTATTTATCTTGCTCACTTGATAGGAGATTGAAATTCCTTTTTTTTTTTTTTTTTAAGCCTGGATCAGTGCAGTTCACTGGATTTTTGCATAAAAGTCACTGATTGAGAAATTTAAAGTTATTTCCTATTAGAATAATTGGGCTCTTATTAGGGTCTTTGATAATTTCTTCATTGTCAGTTTATGGAAATAGTTAGATTGACTGGGAGGTCAGCTTTAAACCAGGTCGTCAAGGGTTCAAGCCAGTTGTAGAGGCAGCTGTGATCTGCCTGCTGGGATTATTACACTTGCTGACAGCCTGATACCCAAAGCTGAGGATGCTGGTTCAGTTTGATCCCACTGTCGTTCTCTTACATAAGCCTCCAGCACATGGTTTTTGATTTTATATGAGTACATTAGAGTGTAATTAAGCTGGTATTTTATTTTATTTTATTTTTTTCTCTCTTTTTTTTTTTTTTTAATTTATTTTTCCCCCAAAGCCCCAGTAGGTAGTTGTATGTCACAGCTGCACATCCTTCTAGTTGCTGTATGTGGGACGCGGCCTCAGCACGGCCGGAGAAGCGGTGCGTCGGTGCGCGCCCGGGATCTGAACCCGGGCTGCCAGCATCGGAGCGCACGCACTTAACCGCCAAGCCACGGGGCCGGCCCTAAGCTGGTATTTTAAAAGGAAAGTTGTTTCATCTAAATTTTGGCCATTGGAAGATGGCTAATGTTTTGGCAGAATTGAAGATATTTTTTTCATGAGGAAGCACTGTCTAAAAGGAGCTACTTTCTGATCTCACTTGGTCTGTTTCAGACACATGCTAACAATAATGATGGAACTTTATTTTGTGTGCTTGAAAAGCCTTTGCTCTATCCACATTTGAGTGGTTTATTTGGAGTTTCAGAATATGTTTTTCAAGAGATGAGGCATTCCATATTTGAAATATTTTCTTTCTCTGTAAATTGTGAATTAAGGCAATGAACATTTTATAACAATCATGTTATTAAGAGGATCTTTCATTTTTCTCATTGAAATGAATGCTATGTCAGTAAAATGACTTCAGCTCCTAAAAATCATAGTCTCTGCTTGATTATTAAATGATGGATTTTGCCTTCTTTAAATATTAAAGCACAGCAAATGTTTCTGTCCTTTTTACTCAAGTTTATAAAACAATTTGTATAGAATGATTTTTTTTTTTTTTTGTGAGGAAGATTACCCCTGAGCTAACATCTGTTGCCAATCCTCCTCTTTTTGCTGAGGAAGACTGGCCCTGGGCTAACATCTGTGCTCACCTTCCTTTACTTTATATGTGGGACACCTGCCACAGCATGGCTTGATAAGCAGTGTATAGGTCCATGCCCGGGTTCCGAACCTGTGAAGACCAGGCTACTGAAGTGGAGTGCACGAACTTAACCACTACACCACCAGGCCGGCCCCTTGAATAGAACGACTTTTTTCTATCTTGGACAGAATGATTTTTCTGTCTTTTGATAGTACAGATTGCATTTTTTGCTATTTTGGTTTTGCTCCTTAGTATTATTTAGCGTTTTGATAGCTGAATATTATATCATTTTTTAGTAGAAAGGAATAATGCTAGCATCTTTCATACATGTGTTGAAATGACTGTTATTTTATCTGAGACATGTTATTAAAACAAACTATCAATTTGTATGGAATTATAATGTAATTTTTGTTAATTCTGAGTCACTTTTTGTGTTAATTCTGGAAACCCTTTAAGTAGAAAATTTGCCTGACTGAAATTTCCCTTGAAAATGTCTCTTAGTCAACTACATCTCAATAAAATGGGAAAGAAAATTTCTCTTAGCATATTAGAAAACATTAGGAAAAAGAAAACTAAAAGATATTGTTTTGGCCCATGTGTATAAGGTGCATATACATTTTTTAAAACTAAAATCCATTCTAACTAAATCCAACTAAAATCTGATTCTGTTTAATGCTGAGGCAAAGAAATAACTAAAGATTTTTTTTTTGGAGAGAACGGAAAGAGTTACTTTACTTTATTATTTAAAAAAAAAAAATTTTTTTTTTATAATTTTATTTATTTATTTATTTTTCCCCCAAAGCCCCAGTAGATAGTTGTATGTTATAGCTGCACATCCTTCTAGTTGCTGTATGTGGGACGCTGCCTCAGCATGGCCGGAGAAGCGGTGCGTCGGTGCGCGCCTGGGACCCGAACCCAGGCCACCAGTAGCGGAGTGCGCACACTTAACCGCTAAGCCATGGGGCCGGCTCTAAAGAGTTACTTTAAAAAATATTGTTTCCTCCCATTTCAGGATCTTCACCGCACAGGCTGCAGTTCTTACTGCGGCCAGGAGGCTGAGCAGGACAGGGTTGTGTTGAAACGGGTCTTGCTGGCCTATGCCCGATGGAACAAGAATGTTGGGTACTGCCAAGGTTTTAACATCCTGGCTGCACTAATTCTGGAAGTGGTGGAAGGCAACGAAGGGGATGCACTGAAAGTGAGTATCAGGCTCTGAAAAAGGCGATGAAGTTCTTATGAGACAAAAAGACTGGAACTCTGCTTTCTCTTCTCTGATGCCCCACCCCCTTCCAAGGTGGTACACCTGCGTAATTACCCGTGATAGCATTTCCCCCAGGTTAAAGCCAGGTCAAGTGACAGACTCATGTAGCTGCCAAATGTGAGGAGAATGGTCATGTTTTTAGTCTTACTTATAAGACATCATATTTTTAAAGCAAGTTAAATACTAATTGTATTAATTACCCATTGCTGCATAACAAATTAGCTGCTTAAAACAGGAAACATGTATTACCTCACAGTTTCTCTGGGTCAGGAATCTGGGTGTGACTTAGCTGACTTAGTCACATCACTGTGACATTCAAATGTTGGCTGGGGCTGCAGTCTCATCTGAAGGCTCAACTGGGGGCTACGTTCACTGTGAAGTTCGCTCATGTGGTTGTTGGCAAGATTTAATTCCTCACAGGTTGTTGGACTGAGGGCCTCGGTTCCTTGCTGGCTGTTGGCTGGAGGCCTTTTTTAGTTTCTTGCTGTGTGGGCCTCACAACATGGTGGCTGGCATCCCTCAGAGTGAGCAAGAGAGTGAAAGAGAATGAGCAAGGCAAAAGAGATTAAGTTACAGATTTGTAGCCTAATATCAGAAGTGACATTCCATCATTTTGCCATATTCTGTTTATTAGAAGCCAGTCACTAGGTCCGGCTCATACTCAAGGGGAAGGGTTTATACAAGGGTGTGACTCCTAGGAGGTGGGGATCACCAGGGGTCATGTTAGAAACTGCCTACTCCACTAGTTATGCTTAATTCTGGTTGGATCTTCTTATTGGGTTGCTTTCCTCTTTCATACCTGGGGCGAGGTATGGAGGAGGTAGGCTGAGAATGAATATCTGTGATGGAAGGGGTTTCCATGGAGAAAGGTTATGGAAGTGAATTATATTTATTATCTTTTGATCTTGGATGCCTAAGACCTTTATTAGTAAAAAAAAAAAAGAAAAAAAAATGCTATAAATTCTTTGAGATGAGACACAGCAATTGAAGCTTATAGGTCTGAATATGAGTCGGTGTGAGTCACCAGAAATAATCCTTATGAGAAATGAAGCATTTCACCTGTGCAGGATGACCACGGCCTTATTTGCTTGGGGCAATATGGGGTTGCTAATTCGTCTTTGAACCCTTGAACTGCTGTTGATTGCAATGCTTTGTGGTGGATGGGATGGGTACTTAGTCTTTGTATTCAAGAACTGCCCCACCCCCCACTCTGTGTTTGATTGTGATGAATACCTTAGTGATAGTCTCAATCACTGACTCATGTCATAGGGAAAAATAAACCAACATTCCTCCTAGTTTTATACACATCATGGTAGAATTAATTATAAATCCAGCCTGACATGATCTAAATCTGTATTCACCCTCTCCCTTTTTCCTTCATGTATTTAAGGAAACAGCTTTGAAGCTACTTCTTCATCAAATAGGTGGGGGTGGCGGGGGAAGGCAGTGACAAATCAAATACATGAGTTTAAAACATTTTTTATTAAGAAGCAATTTTGTTTACTTGATCTATCAGCTGAGTCAATTTTTTTTTGATGTAATTTGTGTGACTATAAAATTAGAACTGCTCTGTTGAAAAGTAGGAGTAAACAATTCAGGTTAGGTGGTGGGTGGAGAGGTTTGGGGAAGTGGATATCCATGCCAATCAAATCATGAAAGGCTCAGTGATACTTAAAAAGCTAAAAATTCACATAAAAAGATGAATTAGATAGAGCTGAGAAACTGAATATTTATATTTTTGCTCTAAGAAAATGAACTCCGTGGAATGAAATGACATCATTGTTATTTAGGAATCTTGTGGTTAGGCATTTAATATGCAGAGGAAGTTTGGATTCATGAAGAAACACTTCTGATGCAAAGGACAATATTGGTGTCAGTGTTTTTCCACCAGCTATTTTGGCTTCTGCAAGTTGTAATTATTAGGGAAATATATAGTTTATTAGAAGTAGCTAAACCATGTTTCCTGCTTTTCAGCACTTACTGTTTTTTCTTAGTAACTTTTAAATTATTTGTTAGGAATTTTAAGCTCCCCCATTATTTATCTTTTTAGAACTACTTAATTTTTTTTAGAGCAGTTTTAGATTCACAGCAAAATTGAGAGTAGGGTACAGAAATTTCTCATAAACCCCTCCTCTACTTATGCACAGCATCCTCCATTATCAACATCACTCACCAGACGGTATATTTGTTAAAATCGATGAACCTATGTTGACACATCATTATCACCTAAAGTCCATAGTTTACACTAGGGTTCATTCTTGGTGGTACATTCTATGGGTTTGTAAAAAAGTATAATGACATGTATTCATCATTCTAATATCATACAGAGTATTTACACTGCCCTAAAAATCCTCTGTGCTCTGCCTATTCATCTCTCCCCTTCCCCACCCTGGCAACTGCTGATGTTGTTTTGCTTTTTCCAGAATGTTATATAGTTGGAATCATACAGTATGTAGCCTTTTCAGATTGACTTCTCTCACATAGTAATATGCATTTAAGGCTCGTCCGTGTCTCCTCATGGCTTGTTAGCTCATTTCTTTTTAGTGTTGAATAGTATTCCATTGTCTGGATGTATCACAGTTTACTTATCCATTCACCTACTGAAGGACATCTTGGTTACTTCCAAGTTTTTGGCAAGTTGGAATAAAGCTGCTATAAACGTCCATGTGCGGGTTTTTATGTGGACATAGGTTTTCAGCTCCTTTGGGTAAATACCAATGAGTGTGATTTCTGGATTGCATGGTAAGAGTATGTTTAGTTTTAATTTGAATTTCCCTGATGACATATGATGTGGAGCATCTTTTTTTTTTTTTTTTTAAAGATTTTTTTTTTTTTTTTTTCCCCCCAAAGCCCCAGCAGATAGTTGTGTGTCATAGCTGCACATCCTTCTAGTTGCTGCATGTGGGACGCGGCCTCAGCATGGCCAGAGAAGCAGCGCGTCGGTGCGAGCCCGGGATCCAAACCCGGGTCGCCAGCAGTGGAGCGCGCTCACTCAACCACTAAGCCACGGGGCCGGCCCTGGAGCATCTTTTCATATGCTTATTTGCCATCTGAATATCTTCTTTGGTGAGGTGTCCGTTAAGGTCTTTGGTCCATTTTTAATTGGATTATTTGCTTTCTTATTGTTGCGTTTTAAGAGTTCTTGGTATATTTTGGATAACAGTCCATTATCAGATATGTCTTTTGCAAATATTTTCTCCCGTTCTGTGGCTTGTGTTCTAATTCTCTGGATGTTGTCTTTCACAGAGGAGAAGTTTTTAATTTTAATGAAGTCTGGCCTATCAATTATTTCTTTCATGGATCGTGCCTTTGCTATTGTATCTAAAAAATCATCACCATACCCAAGATCATCTAGGCTATTTTGTCTTCTAGGACTTTTATAGTTTTGCATTTTACATTTAAGTCTGTGATCTATTTTGAGTCCATTTTTGTGAAAGGTGTAAAGTTTGTGTAGATTCATTTTTTTGCATGTGGATGTCCGATTGTTACAGCACCATTTGTTGAAGAGACTATTTTTGCTCTATTGCCATTATTTATCCTAATTTTTTTTAAAGATCTAATGTTTGGTCTTTAAAATACAGTAGTTTGGGGCCGGCCCGGTGGCACAAGCAGTTAACTGCGCTCGCTCCGCTGCAGCGGCCCAGGGTTCGCCGGTTTGGATCCCGGGCACACACTGACGCACCACTTGGCAAGCCATGCTGTGGCAGCGTCTCATATAAAGTGGAGGAAGATGGGCACGGATGTCAGCCCAGGGCCAGTCTTCCTCAGCAACAAAAGAGGAGGATTGGCAGATGTTAGCACAGGGCTGATCTCCTCACAAAAAAATAAAATAAATAAAATAATAAAATAAATAAAATAAAATAAAAATAGAATAAAATACAGTAGTGGGTGGAGTGACATACCTGACATAAGACATAGCTGGCTCTTATGTCTTACATCAGACTTTGAGATGCCTTTAGACAGAGAATTTCATTGTGTCACAAAAATTAGTGTGATAATTGGAATTTTTTTTCTTGTTTCGTGTAATTTTCAGGGATCATAATTTCTTCATAAAAACTTAAGTATCTGTCTCAATTTTATATCCTTATGAAAAGTGCAATAATAGATAGACTTACCTTTAAATTTTGCCTTCTGATCTTGTAAATCCCTCTTCTTCTTACTTATAGAGTGCAAAGTCCCCGCCAGGGCACTCTGCTCTTCTGGAAATCTGCTCTCCCCTCAACTGGCCCTGGTCTCTCTAGGACTTCCTCCCTCCACACAGATTGAATAGACTCCTTGTATTGCTAAGCTCCTATTGCCAAGATGATGACGCATTTACCTTGTAAATTCTATCCCAACATAAGAAGGCTGAGGAGGCTCCCTGGGCCTGCCCCCTCTTGTCATACAGGCTTCAGAGGGGCCATCTCAAGAGTTTGCTCCAGCCATTATTGACTTAGTCCAAACTATGACCCTCAAAGTATAGATCACAAGCCAGGGATGAGGGAAAAACGAGCTCTTGTCAGGTCTGGGAGATAATTTTTCTGGAAAACAGGGTTTTGTGATATGCTGAAAATCAAAATGTGAGACAGCTACTCCTCCACCAACATATAGGGCCAGCTGTGATTTTGTTCTGAATGCTGTTTTTCCTGTGCACTGAGGAATGAGCTGGTCTTCTAGGGGGGAGAGCATAAACAGCATGCAGGCTGACAGGGAAAGGACCGGAGATTGACAGATAGAACTCAGGTGTGTTTTGCTGGGTCATTTAGTGGTTCTTGACATCTTAGAAAAGGTAACCCAAATAGAAAAGTCAGAATGAAATAGTAATTTGAAGAACTTATGAGACAATCTTATGAAAGAAATCCAGATGTTAAGAGTACTATTTGTTCAAACGAAGCCTTGTTGCATTCTCCCAGGAAAGGACAGTGGACAAGAAGCCAACGTCAGTTGTTCCAAGAACCCAGGTAGACGGTGAGAGAACCTTGAGACCTGCCTCAGCGGGGGTGTTTTAGGAGGGGCCAGCTCTTGGTTTTCATGTTAAGGTTGCAAAACTGTGCTGACATCAAGGAGCCGATACTGAGATTCCTGCCGGCTGCTGGGGAAGCAGCTGCTCTGCCACTTCTCAGAGCGAGGCCGAGGGCTCTATAAGCACAGCTGCTTATGGGGTGAAGTCAGGGCTAGTGGCCCATCTAGAAATTTCAGACAGCAGCAGATTTTGGGTCTGAGTTACTTAGATAATTATGCCACCCGCTCTTTACCCAGAGTGGAGACGAGCCTAGAAAATCCAGAACATTTGGTAGGGACGTATTTAAAGGATAGTGTGCTTTGGCTAACTGCAGTGTATACATTTGAATATGTTCTTTCTATTTAGGACGTGTTAGGATACCGGTTTTTATGAAGCAGTCCTGTTCTTTATCATTTTCTTCAGATTATGATTTACCTTATTGATAAGGTGCTTCCTGAAAGCTATTTTGTCAATAATCTCCGGGCGCTGTCCGTGGATATGGCTGTCTTCAGAGACCTCTTGAGACTGAAGCTCCCTGAACTGTCTCAGCACCTGGACACTCTGCAGAGAACTGCCAACAAGGAGAGTGGAGGTAGTGACCATTCAGGGCTGTTACACCTTTGAAAACATTTTACTTCTCTGCTTCCACTGTACATATGAGCCACTGTGCAATGAAATAGATTTCTAGAGAATGAAAACAAAACTGAGAAAAACACAGGGCCACATGTTGAATCACTAACTGGTCGTGGTAGGAAGTCAGTCAAGAACCTCAGACCTCCCTAGTATCAGATCAACAACTAAAATGATGTGTTGTGCTCTAGATGAAGAAAGGTGTCCATGTCTCACCATCCAGGTAAACTGCTCTAAGCTGGCACCAAACCTGTAGGATTTCGTTACAACTGAGCTATAGGCACGATTTAGCACAAACCGTGGTTTTCCCCGAACCGTTGAGGTTATGGAGAGTGGAGTATGTATTTTCATAAAGTAGTGGGAGATAAAAGCAGTCCTTTGGATTGAAATGTTTAATGCTCCTTTTAGTTATTCACACTAAGGGTATTTAGATTTACCTGAGGTGAACGGGCCAGTTCTTTCTGGAGAAGGGCTCTTCTGGACCTCCAGGGGGAAGCTGACCCGTGAAGGAAGGCACTGAGTTGAGTGGGCCAGTGATGTAGATGGCTCTCCAGGCAGCTCTGAGAGTCGCTGTTGTCTAGCGGGTATCATCCAGCTGTCCAAAGTACCTGAGCTGGTAGCTGTAACCATACCCCTGCTTGCACTTCCCTGGCTGTGCTCAGGGTACCAGAACAAATAGTCAGAAGTTTGTTGTGTTTCCTGTAAATGGTTGCCAGATCCTGATCTATGTATGTAAGTCTGGGAAACTATTAAAGGATCTTGAGGACCTAATCTGTGGTTAAAATACACTGGAAATTTTAGTGACACCTGGGTGTCTCTAAGCATTTCCTTCAAAGCAATTTGAATAATCTTCTCACTTAATTTGGCTGTGCAGTATAATTGTGCACCTGTGTGGATTTCATAAAGCTTCCAGATAGACCCACCTTGACTGCACTATAGTCAGACACACTTTCCTGGGCTCTCAATGCCCTGTGCTTGAGGGGTGACCTCAGACTAGTCTCTGAACAAAGATCTCCCTTGTTCATAGGTAACAAGAAGGAAAACGAGTGCAGAACATCTCTCTTTTTGCTTATACTTGGGCAAATGCACATTCTGACTGTAATTTGGAGGGAGGATCAGTAAAAATATCCAAATTTTTATATTTCATTAAAATACACACTTATGCCGTTACAGGAAATGGGAGAGAGCTCTGTTTTTAGTGAATTCAGAAACCTGTAAGTGAGCTGGGTCCCAGATCTTTAAAACTGTGTGTAGTTTAGTTCAAAATATTTTAAAATTTCATGTTATTTAGTCTCCAGATATTTTGGGATTTTCCAGCTATCTTTCTGTTGTTGATTTCTAGTTTAATTCCATTGTGGTCTGAGAACTGTATATAATGTAAGAAGTAGGTAATTCGTAATGAGCAATTTTACTTTTATCAGCAGCATTTGAATAAAAGTGGGCTCTACGAGATTTTGAAAATTGGCTTTGCTTTTGAGAAGCTAAAATCCTTTCTTTTTTATCCTGTTTTTGGTGAGAAAAATATTCTCCTTAATTTTCAGCATCCCACAATAGGTAGAGCCAAATTAAGTTTTAGGTTAAGATTTCTGAAATATCATAAAGAATTTGTGAAGTTTATATTATTGAAATTTTTAATTAAACACACCTATGTTCTTTCAGAAAAAGGAAAAAAAAAAGGAGGAAGGAACCAGAATTTAGAGATATAAACAAATCAGTCAGGAAATGTAACATATTTCGGTGGACATGGAAGACTGAAAGAAAGTATTTTTATATCTTGCAAATCATCAATTCTGAAGAAATAGTGAGTGTTCGTTTTATTTCAGGTGGATACGAGCCCCCACTGACGAATGTCTTCACGATGCAGTGGTTTCTGACTCTGTTTGCTACGTGCCTCCCGAACCACACAGTTTTAAAGATTTGGGATTCAGTCTTCTTTGAAGGTTCAGAAATCATCCTAAGGGTGTCGCTGGCGATCTGGGCAAAATTGGGAGAGTAAGTGGTTTCCCCCTGCTGTTCTGTTCTGTGGTGTTGAGGGGCTTATGTAATCTTTGTGCTCTAACGTGTAAAGCATCGACATTTAATCATGAGGAAAAGAGAAAGTTGTGAAATTTGTGCACTTGCTTTGCCTTCTGAAATCTCAGCTGGCTCATTCTTGAATGTTGGGGGGCAGATGGAATCTATTTTAGAAAAGGGGCAGGCTTTTTCAGGCCTGTAGACTCTGTTCCTCCTCCTTCTCCCTGCTAGTATTCTGGCTGGTTTACTCTTTGTCAGCATCTTTCCTGACACTAATTGGGAAGAGGGGAGTTGGGAAGAGGGAGAGGAACTTAGATGGAAGAGGAACTGGGAGATCTGGAGAGGAGTAGGTGGATTTGTTGGTTAACATCGCAATTGGGCTCCTTTTTGATTCTTTCTTATTTATTTTGTTCTGCCTTTCAGAGCTGTGATAAAATTAAATGAGATAGTATGTATAAGTATCTGGCGTGGTGCTTGCTACAGGGTAGCAGAACCCATGTAACTTATTTCCTTTCATCAAGAATTAGTTCTATGTTGAAATCTATTACCACCAAACGTATTACCAAATAGATTTTACTTACATTCTTTACTAGTAGCAGGTCTGAAAACAAAAAGGGGGTATTTTCACTCATCTCTAATATATTATGACTATCACATTAAAATCCTACCTTTTGTGTAATGGATGAAACAATAGGATGAAATTGTTGTAGTTAACTTATGAAGCAAAGAAGTTTTAATGTTTCTTTCCTAGAGCTACAAATGACTTGAGTGGGTACCCATAGACAACATGTCAGAAAACTAATAAATCACTGCCAGTGTTTTGCTTCAAAAGCCTTTTAACTAGCCTTTTTATTTATGATAAGTTTTTTCTAGGAGACTTGTAGCATGTTTTACTTTTTGCACGAAGGACCCACCAACTATCAATTCAGGGATTTAAAAAAATCGTTCTTGTAAGCATTTTTACACATCACATAGCTTTCTCCTTTGACTTTGTTTTATTGTACATTGCTTTTCAGCTAGGCAAATAAGTTCGTCTGTGGGGGATTTGGTGTGCTATTTACTTACCTTTTTCATTTTCTCCAAATGCCTACCTCTTACTGCAGTCAGGTATTTCCAGCCTCCTCTACACCTTGTAAGCTCTTTGAGCTTTCATAGTGTCTGATGGGTATGATAATCCAGTTACTGAGTAACTAGTTTATAGGATTAAAATAGTAAGCTCTTTACTGTATGCTGGCTCAGCTATGGTGACCCTTGTGTTAGTTCTTATTTCTGGGGCAGGAGGAAAAGAGGTGATTCTGGTTTTACTCCCATCTCTCCACTATCTGTAGGATCAGAACTTACGCATATGGTCATCCCAGGGATGTCACACTGTTGAAATAATAATAACTATGCTTAAAACCCAATATTCATTGAGTGCGTACAATGGACAGGTGTTGTTCTGAGCACTCTAGATGTAAAATTAGCTCCTTTAGTCCTCATCATCATCCAGTGAGGTGGGTACTGTCATCAACCCTATTTTACAGATGTGGGAACTGAGGCACAGAGAAGTTCAGTAAGTTGCCCAAAGTCAGCCAGCTAGAGGGTAGAAGGGCCCACCCGATTTTGAACCCAGGTACCCCGACTCTAGAATCTGCACTTTTAATAATGTGAATCCACTGAAAATAAATGGCTACTGTTGGTGAAGTTCGGGGGATATATGAACCACACTGGTAGAAATGTAAATGTTTAAGAGTCTTTGCTCATTGTAATTCTATATGTTTTGAGCGTGCAACTTGTTAGGCGAAAGGAAGTCAACCAACAGGCATTAGCCAGTGCCTGCAGGGCCGTCATTATTTAAGGCAGTTTAAACACATTCCCTCATTCCATTCTCCCATAACCCTGTGAGGTAGGTAGGGTGATTTTCCCTGTCTTTTCAAGTGAGAAAACTACCCCAGGAAGGTTAATTAACTAGTTCAAGGTTACACAGCTAATGAGTAGCAGAGCTGGGACTTAATCCTGGATCTTTCAGACTCCAGTGCCTGTGAACTTCTGTACAAACTTCCCATTGGAAAAATCCTAAACAGCTTGTAGGTAATCCCCAGTTTCTGTACACCTGGGTAACCTATGTGCCTTCAGTGTGGTTGTCCAGGGGACCACTCCACTCACCTTGCTTCTGCAACTTGGAGTGTCTTCCTCTTGCTCATACCAAGGGTACTTTGGGGATATTTAAGTTATGGACCATCAGCTCATCTTACTGGCATCCCTTTTCCATGTCCTTTCTCCTCTGACCCTACTGCTTTGCCTGGATCCCTCATACCTGCTGCCTGGCCCATTAGACCCCAGACGTGCCATGCCACCTCCAGGCCGACCTTGCCAAGGGCGCATCTGTTGCCATACTCCCTCTTAAAAGCCTTTCAGTGCCTCCTACCCTCAAGGGGCCCAGCTGGCAGGTGAGGCCTTTGCGATCTGCTCTCCTCAGCTCTCTACCTCAGCTCCCACCAGCTCCCTCTGGCTGGCACCACCCCCTACTGTGGTCGCGTGGAGCTACTTGCAGTCCCCAAGTAGGGCCTGCTGTCTCCTGCATCCATGTCTTTGCAATGCTTTTTCTTTCTTGTCAACTTGCATTATTTCTCTTCCTCACCCCCAGGGTAAACTTAACTACCTTTTCATTTATGCTCACACGCTACTCTATTTTTGTAATAACACTTCAACAGTTTATTTCATTTATTTATTTACACGATTATGGCAATGGGATTGAAACAGCACTCCAGAGCCTGAGGTTGCCCATCGTCATATTTTCTGGATGGCTCTATGGAAATCCCCCAACATTGCGTGTGTCAGAGCGCATGTCTGTGGTCGAGGGGGGGTGGGGGGCAAATAGAGTTATCCTTCTATACAAACAACATCATAATAGGTAAAACAAACACGCAGTGCTCTTTGCTTTAGACTATTCTTTTTCCCTCTCTAGAAGAAGGATTAAAGTCTGACCTCTGTCACAGGTTGCCAGGTGACAGAGTCTTTATTTACACATGGAGGCAAAGGCAAGAAGCAGGGTGTAATCTCCAACCAGCAGCAGCGCCCTGAGAAGAACTGAAAAAATCCTGCCTGTGCAAACATCCTGTGGACTGATGAAATACACTCAAGACGAAATAAGATAAAGTTCTTGTGTTTTTCATCGTTCACTTCTACTGTGGTTTGGTTTTAGTCTATCAATGATATCACAGTCTGCAAATTAAGAGCAACAGATTCCCCACAGGGGATAATTGTCTTGTCTTCGGTACCCAATTTCCTGTTATGATTTCTGATCAATGGTGGGTATTCTGATGTGTCAGAAGTGTCACACGGATGCAATACCGATGCCACAAATGGGGCTGTGAGGCTGGGGAGCAGGGTAGGGAAGACGGGAACTCATCCTGTTGTAAGTACCTCTGAGCTGCCTTTGGTGTTTTTTATCTTTTCTCTGCATACAGCAGGCTGTGCTGTGAGTGTGTCCCAGGATTTAGATTTTTGTTGACTGCTAACTTTATTGATTTGAGCAAGAGGTGACACCTCCTGTTGTACCTGCAGCACGCACCTGACAGACACCATGGATGTCCTCAACAGGTCCTTTTTCTGTCCTTTCTTTATCTAGGCAGATAGAATGTTGTGAAACAGCAGATGAATTCTATGGCACCATGGGGCGCCTCACCCAGGAGATGCTGGAGAATGACCTTCTGGAAAGCCATGAACTCATGCAAGTGAGTGGGCAGCATGGCCCTGTGTTTGCTTGGGGAACCCTGGGGACCGTGGGAACAGGCAGTGCCGGGCCAGGGGTCTCGGGAAATGTACTGGCCAGCCCGCAGATTTAGTTTATCGCCCGACCACGAGTCTATGTATGATGGGATAAGAATCTAAGTATGTCACAAGAGGAAGGAAGAAATGATTAATGAATATTTGTTGTGGCTTTCACTCAAACTGTGTTGCTTAAAAATCATGAGGTACAGGGGCCAGGCCCGGTGGCGCAAGCGGTTAAGTGCGCGAGCTCAGCTGCCGTGGTCTGGGGTTCGCCGGTTCGGATCCTGGGTGCACACCGACACACCGCTTGTCAAGCCGTGCTGTGGCGGCGTCCCATATAAAGTGGGGGAAGATGGGCACGGATGTTAGCCCAGGGCCAGTCTTCCTCAGCAAAAAGAGGAGGATTGGCAGATGTTAGCTCAGGGCTGATCTTCCTCACACACACACAAAAAAATATGAGATACAATACAGAAATAAATAAAAAAAAAAAAACCAGACCCCCTCCCACCAAATCACCAGGTGCTTATTCTGAATCTGATTCGTAGCCTTCTTAAAGGGAGACTTGTGGGGTGAAATAATTATTTTGGGGGAGGAACTATTGAGGATAAAAAGGAGATGATTCTAATCAGCATTTTGGTTTATTTGTTTTGCCCACATTTTTCAACTCATATATTAATCATAAATTTCAATATGAAAGACTGGAAAGGTTTTGTTGTTTGCTGGCGTGTTACTCTCTTAATATCATATTCACCGAGTCATTAAAATCAACAGGAGTCTAGAAAAGGTTGCAGACTTGTTTGTACTCGCTCTTCAGTTGGGTTCTGTGACCTCATTTTGTCCTCCGTCTGCTCCGAGGCTCCTGGCCACTTCTTCTCTTCCCGGGTCTTCCTCTTGCCCACGGACCAACTGTGGGCCTTTCCAGGGTTGTGCTTGGGCCTCAGTTCCGTCTTTCTCCATGATTTCTCTCTCCTTTTTCTTGGTTTCAGCGTTTACCTTCAGGTGGGGTTCCATGCTTGAGGTCATTTTTGGGCGCTAGGGCCCAGCCAACAGATTAGAAAATGAAGACTCAGACCCCTGATGTAGGACTGGAGAAGCTTCCATGACTTTGCCCATTTCCCAGCACCCCAGTTCCTTCTCAGAATCCCTCCTTTATAGCAGACAGCTACCCGATTTATTGAGGATATTGACCATCTGATATAACCTCCCTGAATATTCGTACTTTGTATTTCAACTTTTCTTTGCGTTCTCATCTTTTCTTCCTTCCTGTCTGTCGTGGAGGAGGAAGTGTTCTGTCTGACCCTCTGATTCCAGCTCTTCTCACACATGCTAGGCCATCACTTCATCGCTCAGTCTCTCCTGGAGGGGAGAGCCTTTCATTGAACATCACTCTGTGCCAGGTCAGTGCTTGGCATTTGCCTCCTGTGAGGTCCTTTATGTCCTGCAGAACTGCCTGATTCATGTGCCCAAAGCAGGACTCGGAGATAGCGTCCCTTCTCCTCACTCATGAAACCTCAGTGGCTCTCACTGCCTCCAAAACAAAGTATGGCTTTCTCAGCTTATCGTCCTGTGCTCTTGACTCTCTGGCATTAACCTATCTTTTCAGCCATAGTTCCTGTTCCTCCCTTTTGTATCCTCGACCGGTCCTAGTCAGGTTAAACTGCCTTCCGTGCTCCAGACATGCCTGGGGAGGTGCCTCCTCTGCCTCTGCCTTCCCTGCTCAGTCTTTCTCTTCTGCCGTCATGTGTTTAAGAACTGCCACTTTGTGAAAGTTCCAGTTCAGATGCCATCTCCTTTGTGAGACGTTCTCTGATGGTCTCAGCTAAAATCACCTCCCATTTCTTTGAGTCACCACGGCGTTGTCTTTGTGCCTCTCCTGTGAGTGCCCATCACGTTCTACCTTGAGTTAAGACTCTATCTCATTTCCTCAGTGATTGTCTAAGTTCCTTGAGGATGGGGACTATGCTTTGCTCATAACACTCAGCACTTTGCCTTTTACTGGAGGTGTCAGTAAATGTATTAATTCATTAAGCAAACATCTATTGAGAGTCTGTGGTTAGTTTCTGCCTTCTCTTTTGCAATAAATGTTTGCTGAATTAAACAACACAGATGATGGCCCTCTTTCCAGATCGCCTCTGCTCTAATACAATCAGCATTTTGCTGCCAGAGCAATTGTCCACACTTACTGCTTTGGTCATTTCGTTGTTCTTCATAAAACCTTCAGTGCTTCCTTGTTATTAATTGCAGTAAATAAAATGCTTCAGCCTAGTTTCCTAGGCCCTATATTAACCTCTCCAAATATTTATTGAGCATCTCTATACGGCAAAAGTCTTCCATGAGGGAATTAATGACTGGTTTTACCTTTAAAGACAAATAGGAGTTGTTCAGGCTGTGTGTGTGTGTGTGTGTGTGCACACACGTGTATGTGCACACGTGTATGCATGGATGCACGTACATGTGAGGGTGTGTGTGTGTGTGTGTGTTGGAGGCGGTGGTGCAGAGCAGAGAGGCAGTTCGTGGTTAGGGGGCAGCATGAGCAAAGGCAGAGACTGAAAAACTGTGTGGTGTGTGAAGGAGACTACAAATAGTCTGGTGTCAGGATGGGTTATGGAAAACCACAACCGTGGTAGTGTGGACTTGATCTTTCAGGTCAGTGGTTGTGAAATGGTGCTTGCTGGAGGCCTAGGGCTTCTGTAGAGCCCTTGGAAAGGGAAAAAGAAGCACTGTGGCCTTAAAGGTTTTGAGGAGAGGAGAGAAATGGGCTGAGTTGTATCTTATGTCAACCACATGGGCAGCTCTGTGATGGATGGATATGAAGGGTCTGGTCTGATCACAGGAGGCCTGGGAGGAGGCAGGGAAGGGTAGAAACAAGAATGGAACAGAGACAATACTTAGAAGGTGAAATTGATGGGCCTTGGCCATGGAAGATGGATATGGGGCGAGGGAGAAGGAAATGGGGGAAACAAGGGCAATCCACAAGTTTCTGGCTCAGGAAGAAGAGTGTAAGTTTATGGGGGAGGAAGATGGGTTTGATTGGAGAGTGTTTCATTGGAGGTGCACTCTGGCTGCCCCATTCCTGACCTATCCAAAGGTGTTCCCCACGACTTCATAACCAGGACCTAGTGCCTGGTCACAGCTCTGTCCCCACCCAGCCCTCGTGGTTCGAGCCCATTCCTGTGACAGGGCTTATGGTCCCTCTGATGCTCTATCTGTGAAAATCCTCTCTGCCCACCTGGATCCTCCTCTCTCCCCTACCCCCACACAGCCTGTTATCTCAGCCCGCATGGATGATGCCTCCTCTGTGCTCTTTCAGTACTTAAGATTTTAAATAATTGATTTAATGCTAATTACAGATGATTTTATGTTGTGTGGTATTTTTTCAAGTATGTTCATCTTATTTTTTTTTTTTTAAAGATTTTATTTATTCATTTTTTTCCCCCCAAAGCCCCAGTAGATAGTTGTATGTCATAGGTTCGCACCCTTCTAGTTGCTGTACGTGGGACTCGGCCTCGGGTTGGACGGAGAAGTGGTGCCTTGGGGCGTGCCTGGGATCCGAACCCGGGCCGCCAGCATCAGAGCGCGCGCACTTAACCGCTAAGCCATGGAGCCGGCCCCTTATTTTTCTAATGAAGTAGCAAGTTCCTTAATGATAGGAGCCTCGTCTTACTCTGTATCCCCCTAACACCTAGAGTAGTGCTAAGGATGCACATGGTTGCTCAATGAATACACAGAATCATAGGACATTAGAACTTGAGCAATGGTTTCCAAACTTGACTGTGTCTAAGAAGCATCTCAGGAGTGTATGAAGATGCAGCTGTTAGGCTATGGGTGGTTCTGATGCAGGTGACTTTTAAACAACACTTAGAGGAACACTGGCTGAAAAGAAGCTTAAAGACCAACTCACCTAATTCTGTCACTTCACAGAGAGGAAACAAAGACATGGAGAACGAGCATCTTGCCAGTTTCTTAGGTTGTCTGGAGGCAGACCCAGGACTGGGACCCAATCCCCTCTCCTGGCCCAGTGCTTTTCCCCCACCACCCAACACACTGCTTCCACCTTATTCAGTGGGACAGTGGTTAATGTGTGATGGTCAAAACATGTCTTTCTAAAAGCTGAAATCCTCTCTAGAAGAATAAGGAACATTTTATCTCACTTCAAGTTTAAAAATTGCCGGAAGGAATGAGAGCTATGTTGAGATTTGCCATCTTTGTCCTCTAGGAATTTCTCATCTTAGGTAATAGGAGAAAAGAGAACCACCTCTTTCCCCTGCGGTAAGAGGATCCTAGAGGGGCGATGTAGGCTGCGGCTTGATTGATTAGATTCCATTTTAGTAGCATTTCTCCTGCCAAGGAAAACATCTGGGTGAAGATGAACTGTGCCTAATTTTGTTTCTTGTCAAGCATGTCAATAGTGAAAAAAGAAATATAATTCCTTTTCTGCATTGCCTAAATATAAATGTCTATGTAAGTGTGTGTTGGTAGTTTGGATAGTAAATAGACTTAACAGTTTTCCTTGGCATCATAGAGTACTAAGGAGAGAAATGGTGAATGTCATTTCAAGCCACTCTCTTTTCTGTATTCAGTCTTTTTTTAAAAATTAATTCAATGGCTGTGATCCAATTACGGTGGACCATAAATCTCTCAGCAAACTTGAAATGGCTCCAGATGAAAAATGTGGAGTGCATGTAGGGTCTTTATTTTTGAGCTGAAGAGATGCAAGGATTCTCCCTTTTTGGTCTTTCCCATTTGTTTCCGTTCTAAGTGCGATACACAAAATAATCTACTGTTTTTTCCCCCTGTAAATCACATCACTCTTTTTTTTTTTAATTAGCAATGGCTGTTTATAAAAAATTGTGTTTGAAAAGCAGATTGGGAGAAAGCCATTGAATTAGTGTATATGGATTTCAGTAAGACTTTTGACAAAGTATCTCACGAATTCCTTGAGGGCGATAGAGAGAAAAGCTATTAGATGTGATTATTAGAAGGGTCTGTAGGTGCTTGGAAAAACCTAACCAAAGTACTTGTCGATAATTTACTGTTACTTGGGGGGCTCTTATGTGCCATGAGGCAGGATCTGCCCTTGACTGTTCATTTTTTTCCATTAGTGATGGGTGGAAATTACAAGGATGTGAATGCTTGTCCTATAGATGGATAATGTTTGATTAATTAGTGCAACAAATTGAAACCGTCTGCCCTGCAAAATGGTGTGTGCCTGTAACTGGAGGAGTTTAAGCAGCAGCTCTGTGACCATCTGTCAGAGATGCGCCAGAGGGAACTCCTGCTTGGGAGGGAGGTTGAACTAAATTATGTTTAAATTCCTTTCTAACCCTAAAATTTTATTAGTGTACCATATTTTGGCCCTAAGATGATTAGTGAAATTTCTTTCTTGGAATCTGTTGTAAATCTCTGACTTACAAAGTTGGAAACCTAGAGCTTCTCAGGCACCCCGAGGACTGTGGGGCTGTGCCAGGGTTACTTAAGTTCATGGGAAAACATGCCTTCAGACAAGTGAGACCTTCAGGTAAGTGAGTGAATATATGTGCAGAGGTTCGATAAACACATTTGTTTCAGGAACACTGATTTCTTCCTCGCAGGAGTAGCTAGAAGTAAATGATAGGGAAAGGAAGACCAGAAATAGAGAATGGAAGCTTGGTGGAGCCAGTTTTCTTTTTGGGCCAATGTCTTTAGCTGAGTGGCTGTTGAAGGAGCTTGCTAAGAGCCCGGGCTGTCCGCTCTGGGGCAGGATGGGACGAAGTAGGGGCAGGATGTACTTCCCGTTCCTTTCTTATAAACTTCCTGCACGAGGCTGGACAAGGGAATTTTCTGATAACATTTTATAAAACTGGCAAAAATAAAACAAAGTGAATCTTCAGCTAGTCACCTCACTAATTGTCTTCAACGAGACCGCTTCATTTGTAAGGAATTTTGAAATTTTCAGCATTGATAATTTCATCTTTTAAACGTGAATCCAAATGCTATGGGTTTCTTAAATGTCTGAACCAAGTTTCTAAATTGTTGAGGGAAAAAGGGCCTGTGAGTGAGGGGCGGGCTGACTTGGTCCAGCAGTGGGGGTGTTCGTGTGTGGTGGTTGGAGGCCAGTGCCGCTCTGCTACAGCCCAAGTGGAGGTGCTGTGCTCTGCACCTAAAGTTTGGGTGCTGAGAGAGGATTTCACATCTCTCCATTTCCCTCAAAGGGTGTGTGGAGCTCAGACAGGCCCTAAGAGCAAGCAGGGAAGACTTCTGTCCTGGCAGTACGGCAGCTCCTTGGGTGGTAAGCTGCTGGCAACCTTTGTGGGATCAAAGAATGTGAGAGTTCACTCTGGCGATGTTATTAATGAAATTATAGGAAGTATTTCAGGCAGACAGAATATTAAAAATAATGTAAGAAAATTTACATACCCACCACCCGACTTAAGAACTAGAGCATTAACCACACAGGTGAACACCCTCATCCGCTTCTCTCTGATCTTACCACCCCGCTCCTCTCAGAGGTAATCATGTTCCGGAGTTTCACGTCCTTCATTTTTCAGATGAGAGAAAGGAGGCCCAGAGAGGTTGGGAACCGGCCTAATCTCACACTCCAGACTAGTGGGAACCACGAGACGACTTCTGCTTCTTTCCAGGGGGAAACAGTTCACTGTTAGTAGATCTGTCCTGCTTCTCAGCCCTTGGGCTATAGTCAAGTTTGTATAAGATAAGACAGCTTGGAGATGACTTTTGTGGTCCCCATAAACTGTATACTTTGCATAATAAGTGATGGAGAGTCAAAGGGAAGGAATTTTAGCCAACACTCACTTGTTTGGAATCTTGGGATTGTGCAATAAGATGTAAGTGGAGACCGTGAAGTTGGGGACAGTCAGATATACAGGCTGTTGAGCGTCACAGTTGCAGGGGACTGTCACAGGGGTGGCTCAGAGCTATAAAGTGAGATAGCAACACCATTAAGCCCTCTTCTGAGCCCTCCTTTTCCTCCCCATGCAGATATTAGCTATCTCCTAAGCCTTCAGAAAAACAGTCCTGCTGAAATGAAAAATACCACTTTAAAATATTTTCCTAGAAAAGTGTCATCAGGAGATTTGAACAGCTTCCTGGGAGAGATGAAAGTTAGTATAATTAATATACTTTTTCTGGTGAATAAGAATCTGTAGAATTGAAGAAATATGTTTGGAGCAATTCAATTTTAATAAAATTAAGAGCAAACAAGATTAGTTTTCTCCTCCTGATAGAATGATGTATAATTTTGAAATTCTCAAGGAGGCAGAGGTGCTTTTCCCATTTTTATTTATAGATTTTTAGCAGTCTATGCTTTACACCCTGTCACTTTTTTCTTATTTATTTATTTTTTCTTTAAAAATAACAGCTAACAATTTTCACCGGGAACTCATTCACAGACATTTGAAAAGGTGGTATCTTTGCAGAAAGCTTGCAGTCGATCACAAGATCATTCTAGACTTAATTTTATCCAGAAGGCTGACATTAAATGTCTATAAAAATCATCAAAGCTTTGAAAAACAAGCACTCCATGTGAAGAGCAGTGATGGGTTCTTTATTAAAGAAGTACTGGGGAGCTGCGAGTTTCTGCATTAACCCGTCCCTCGGACGAGCAGGAGGGAGTCAGACTGCCCCATTTTCCCACCCGTGTTCACCAGTCGGGATGCCCAGTTGCAGCTGGTTGACTGGAGAACTCCCACTGTGTTGATCAGTATCCTTTGTCTTTCTGCAGAGGGAATGTTGAAGTGGAATCTTTCCACCCGCTGTGGAAGGAACAGTATTTGCCTCTTCACACTCAAATCATAACTGCACTGTCTTTCCAGGATTGATAAGAGTTGTTTCAGGCCACCATTTCAGACTTGGCATTATTGCTTTTGTTTTTCAGACTGTTTATTCTATGGCTCCGTTCCCTTTCCCCCAGCTGGCAGAACTGAGGGAAAAATACACCTACAACATTACTCCCTTCCCAGCCACTGTTAAACCCACCTCAGTTTCTGGGTAAGATCTTGTTTTTTTCCTTGTTGTTTTCATGATAGAAGACTTAATACCTTAATTTGTTATTGTAACATAATATTTTTAAGCCCTAGAAATATATTCAGAGTAGTTTGGTACTAAAATCTGGATGTCTCTTTCCAAAAGGTTTTGATTTCAATTCAAGACAGATTTTTAAACATGCACTTTCTAGGGCCAGCCCTGTGGCATAGTGGTTAAGTTTGCGCACTCTGCTTCAGCGGCCCAGGGTTCGCAGGTTCGGATCCCGGGTGTGGACCTATGCACCGCTTATCAAGCCACACTGTTGCGGCGTCCCATATAAAGTAGAGGAAGATGGGCATGGATGTTAGCCCAGGGCCAATCTTCCTCAGCAAAAAACAAGAGGATTGGCAACAGAAGTTAGCTCAGGGCTAATCTTCCTCAAAAAAAAAAAAAAAAAGGTGTGCTTTCCAAAGAAGATTGGAACACAAACCAAAGGCGTATTTAGCAACTCCACCACTTATTTTTAAATAAATCATACCTCACACTAAAAATTGGGATAAATTTCATGTGGATGAAAGAGTTAGAAGGAATAAATGAAATAATAAAATTAGCAGAAGAAAATGTAGAAGAATGCCTTTAGTCCTGTGGAACTGGAAAGGCCTTAATAACTGACTCAAAGAAAACCATAAAGGAAAAAATTAAATTACTTTAAAAACAATTTTCTGCACGACTGAAAATAAAACAGAGCAAAACAAAATCTTCACAAGCAGATGCAAGAATATATGTGGAAAAATATTTGTAACTGAGATCACTCATATGTCAAGTTCCTAGAAATTAATAAGAAATGACCACCCAATTGAAAAATGTTGGAAAGATGGGAATAGGCAGTTTATATAAAAGGCAACATCACTTGTACTAAGAGAAATACTTAAAACTAGATTGAGATTCTGTTTCTTTACCTGTCACATTGACAAAAATTCAAAAGGTTGATGTGCACTCTGTTGATAAGACTATGGGGAAACAGATGCTCTTATCCATTGCTGATGAGAGGTTAATTACTACAGGATTTGTGGCGAGCGACTTGGCAGAATTTGCCGGAATTACTAATGCATATATCTTTTGACCCAGCAATTCTACCTTTATGAATTATCCCAAAAATATATTTGTACACGTATGTGGGCTCTGTACATACAACACAGTGCAGCCATAAAAAAGGATGGGGAAGCTCTGTGTATGAATATGGAGAGATTTCTAGATGAATAAAAGCGAGGTGCAGGAGAGCGTATACAGTATACTAACATTTATGCAAAAAGAGGAGAAGAATAAGACTACATAGTCATATTTGCTGATCCACACATAAAGAAACTGAATATATAAGAAACTAGTAATAAATGTCACCTGTGGGAATTAGGTGGGACGAGAACTGGGCCGAAGTTGGACAGGGATGGGAGGGGGACTTTCTATACGTATGAATTATTTTCTATTGAATATTCACTATTTTCTTTGACTATTTCTTTTTCTTCTCTTATGTTTTCCAAGACGACATGGTAAGGTCAGAGACAGTGATGAAGAGAATGACCCAGATGATGAAGATGCTATTGCTAATGCCGTGGGATGTCTTGGACCTTTCAGTGGGCTCCTGGCGCCTGAACTGCAGAAGTTCCAAAAGCAAATGAAAGGTAAAGAGGTGGCTGTCTGTTGAGATGATCACAATGTGCTGGTCCCCTATAGCAAGCGTATTATTACTGTGTCCTATATATGCCTTTTGTTTCCTGAACTGGTTCCCACTGTTAAAGGTCTTTATTGAAAGCATCTTCTCGGTTACTTTTTCATTTACTAGGGTCTCTCTGCATTACATGTTGCATGCATAATACACATTTCTTTTTCTTTAGGGTGACTTTTGCCCCCCACTCGTCTGATCCAACTTTGTATGCTCAGTTCCTTAGCGCAGAGCCTGGAATATAATATGCTTACTACATTCTATTTGAGTTTAATTGAATTCCTTCTAGACTGGCTTCTCCTCCACTACAGAAATACTCTCTAAATCTAAAACGTGGTAGCCTCTACTTGAATTTGAGTGACAAGAAACTCATTAGCTCACAAGACATTCTGTTAGATTCCTCTGCTTAGCCCATGGTTTCTAGTTGCAAAGAGATAGCTTCCACTGACCAGTTGTATTAATAGTTCTTCTCTTTGGAACAAAACATAACAAGTCTATTCCTCTTCCCCCAGCTGTCTCTTCAAATCTTTCGGGACAGCCATCATGTCCCCCAAAGCTTTCTCCATGGTCCAAGTTCAGAATTTCTTTAAGTATTTCTCATAAGATATGACTTTCAGAACTTTTAATATTCTATAAATTCACCTCTAAATGTCCTACAGTTTAGTAGTGTCCCTCTTAGGGTGTGGTGCTCTGAATTGAATGCCATGCTGTATTTGTTTTTTTCTTGTGCAGAATAGACTTCCTGTGGTCTAGACATTATTGATAATGAACTCTTTTGAAGCAGTTCGTGGTTCTCCCACTATGTTCTTTCCCATCTTGTGTGACAGGTCTTCCTTTAGGGTATTATTCTACCTCTTCTAGTTGAAGACCATTCTCCTTGCTAAAAGGACAGAAACAAAATAAATGTCAGGCACCTCTGCATTCTCTTTACCATCTGCTAAGTTTATACTACCTTCTCAAAGTCATGGGGCTGCCTTCTCATTTTCATTTTTCTTGCTTAGAAGTCTTCTTTTTTTTTTTTTCCCCCTTTGTTGGTAGTGGTGGTTTTGAGTATGTTCCCCAAGCCTGAGCTGGTTTTGAGTTTTAACCTGCTTAATGGTTTGTGTGTATGTCCTTGGTTTGTACTCTCTTTTCATCTTTTTCAATGGGTTTTAAACATCTGAACCCAACAAGAGTCCCATTGATCTCATAATGCCCTCTACCCCCTCTCTTGTTGCCTGAATTTCAGCTTTTGGTTTCTAGCTGTGGAATCAATAGATATTTTAACTCTAAAATTTTTGAATCTGCATTTCTGTAGTCTGGGTCTGTGTTCCATTTATTTTTTTCTGTTTTTCTTTCTGTGCAATTAATGTGTTCCAGGATGACATGACCACTTTCTCTGAAGATTCATCATTAGTCTTTCTTTTTGGTTTAGTGAAGTTCAGATTAATTTTTAATTTTAATTTTCTTCTCCTTAGAGAAGTGTTTTCAGTAAAAATGTAAATTTATCAGATGTTTAGCTTTTATCTGAATAACACTTTCAGCAGATGTTGGGATAGTTGAAATCCCCGGTTAATGTTTTTTCAGCTAGTCCCTAGGCCAGTTTTACATATTGTGCTAAAGAAGTTGCATCTTATCCTGCTTTGGCCTGTGCATATACTCACACACAATACTCGTTCCTCTTTCTTAGATGTCACCTCAATTTTATTTAAGGCACAAATCAGGTGACACAGGAGCAGAAACCACATCAGACATAGCACACATAGTAGATAGTCAGGAAATATTTGTTAAATGAATAAAAACATTCATTTCTAGTGATACAGTGATCCAAAGTCTTGATAATTTTATAGAATGTGTTGCTATTTTTAACTTAAGAAAAACTCACTTTTAATGCTGGCTAAACTCCACAAACTCTCAGTCCTTTATACATCCTCATGCAGTTATGTGGAAATCTGTACACTGACTTTAGACATCTGGAGTTACGCTCTTCTAAGGGAATTTTAGAAAACGGCAGTGATTTTTATCTGCAAACAGTTGATCTTGTGTCTATTTAATGAACAAAGTGGTAAGAAAATCAAACAACCCACGCAGCTCATTTCAGACCCACAGTTAGGCTAATAAGAAAATGCAGAAATATTTTCAGGACCAAGTAAAAACAATCACTAGACAAATTCTAGCATATATTTTTTTGTGGTTTAGAATTTTCTAGAGGTTAAGCTACTACACTGGGTTAGAGTGTAATCAATCCCCACTTGGTCCCGTTCTCCTCCACGGACACGATCTCCTTGTCTCCCTTCCCTGGACTACAGACCCAAACGAAGAGCAGAGCCTGAGAGCTAATAACATCGCGGAGCTGAGTCCAGGAGCCATCAATTCCTGTCGAGGCGAATACCACGCCGCTTTTAACAGTATGATGATGGAGCGCATGACCACAGACATCAACGCGCTGAAGCGGCAGTATTCTCGCATTAAGAAGAAGCAGCAGCAGCAGGTCCATCAAGTGTACATCAGAGCAGGTGATGTGATTCTTGGTTTGAATCGATTTTGACTCTATGTCAACTTGTGAAGGGAGCACAGGTGTTCCTAGGATGGCCTCAGAATTCTACTCCCGTAGCTCGGCATTCGCACACACAGCTGGCCTGAGGTCATAGTGTATTTAGCATCTCGTCTTTTATTTTATCTTATCAGGCCCTAAAGAAGAAAAAGACCGTGGGTTCCTTTTAGGTCCCAACGACCAGGCAGCTGATGGTATAACACATCTCTACTGTGTGTGCTTGTGGAGAGGGGTTGACGGATGATGAGAATGTTGCAAAGCCGTGCAGTCCTTGGATTTGAGGCATCTTGGAGCTGTTGCCTCCTCAATTTCAGGCATTGGAAAATAGACTTCAGTCATCTGTACACTGGTGAATTAAGCTATCCACTAGTCCTTTAGTAGTAACATGACAGATGTTGTGATCAAAGAAAAAGGAAAAAGCCATTCTCCTGCCTCGCTGATGGGTTGGCAGTGTCTTGGCATCTGCTGAGAACACAATTGTAAAGCAATTGGAAATGCTCTTTTCCAAGGATTGTCAAGCTCCTTTTTTCTTTCTTTTTTTTAATTTCCAAAATCCCAGTGAGTGATCTGCTTTATTGTTTAACATGTGCTGATTTGGGAATTGGTTTGTCTTGTTCTAAATGAAATCCTAATGAAAATTATGCCTGTTCAGAATTAAGCAAAATATAAATTTCACATGTTTTTAAGAGGCTTGTGAGCATGTGACTGATCTCGCACAAAAACTGAATTTACCTTTCACATATTGGGGAGGAGTAGGCAACTTCTGAATATTCTTACTGTATCCTGAATCATTAAGAAAGCAATCACAGGGCCGGCCCCGTGGCTTGGTGGTTAAGTGAGCGCGCTCCACTGCTGGCGACCCGGGTTTGGATCCCGGGCTCGCACCGACGCGCTGCTTCTCTGGCCATGCTGAGGCCGCGTCCCACATACAGCAACTAGAAGGATGTGCAGCTGTGACACACAACTATCTACTGGGGCTTTGGGGGGAAAAAAAATAAAAATAAAATCTTAAAAAAAAAAAAGAAAGCAATCACAAAAGTAACTAACAACAGCATTTTAATTTTCAAAACCTTGGCACATACGTGCCCTCATTTTGTCCTTAAAACAAATCTCTGAGGAAGGCAAGGACAGCTATCCTTATATCCTTTTAAAAGATGAGGAAATGGTGGTTCAGGAAGGCTTAGCACTCGTCCAGGGGTTATGTAGCTATAGTGAGTGGTCAGGCCAGGGCAAGAACCCGTGTGTTCTCATTCTTTGTGTAGCCCTTTTTCAACTACATGGTGCAAACCTTGGGGCGGAATGGTGAACAATTGCCTTTAGGTACTCAATTAGCCCAGTGCCTTGTACTCGAGTCAGGGGTCAGCAAACTATGGTCTGCAGGCCAAATCCTGCTCACTTCCTGTTTTTGTAAATAAAGTTTTATTGGAACACAGGCATGACCATTTATTTATATATTGTCTATGACTGCTTTCACACTACAATGGCTAAAATAGTTACAATCTGTTCCTTTACAGGAAGTTTGCTGACGCTTCCTATAGATCATGGTTTATGTGGTTCTTTTTAGGGAGAGATTGTTGCTCAAGGCAAAGTTCTAGAGCATTGCTTCTGAAACTTGAGTGTACCTATGTATCACTTGGGGATCTGTTCAAATGAAGTGTCTGTTTCAGCAGGTTTGGGGTGGGGCCGAGATTATGCATGTCCAACAAGCTCTTAAGCAATGCCAGTGCTGCTGGGTGGGGATCACACTTTGAGTAGCAAGGTTTTCGAGGAGATGGTATAGGACAGGATTAGAGCACAGGTGGAGAGATTGAATTTGAGCTTGAGGCAAAAGACCTCAGCTTCTGAGACGTAAAGGAAGGTGGTAAGGATGGTGGTTGAGGTACCAGCTTCCTAGGTTAGGGAGGGCAGGAAGTTGAGGCCTTTCAGACCTGATAGCTTCTGTTTTCATGGAGAAATTGGAGGAAGAGTTGTTTGCATGGGCCTAAGTTGGTGGTTGGGTGGGAGCTTAAAGGAAGTAATGACAATTTGGATAGGTCATTGAAAGGAATGGGAGAGGGAAAGAAAAAGATTATTCAGTGGCATTGAGGACCCAACAAAACAGGAAGTTATGAATTTGAAGGGCTATCAATCCACATGGCTGTGTGATTTTTTTTTCCCTAGCAGCCATTAGCAGCTCCTGTTTTGGGAGGGAGAATGTGGATTGTGGATCCAGGGTTGGGGTTTTGCCAGGCATGTGCGATAAAGGGATAGGGATGCCTGGAATGTGTGGTTGTTGGTGAGGCAGCGGTCCAAGTGATCAGCCATGCATCTAGCAGAGTAGGGATGTAAGGGAGCCAAAGCGAGATGAGTGGTTATGAGAAGATTGAGGGATCAAGGATTCCTCTGTGGTTCAGCACCAGGTATAGTTAGATCGAGAGCCGAGAGCTAGAAGAGTCAAAGAGAAGAATATGAGAGTTAATATTTTCATGTAAGGTAGATCTGGGTGATAAGGTTTAGGAGGGAACTGGGGAGGTTGAGGAACTCTGAGGGTGGGCCAGTCACAGAGACAGTAAAGTAACCGAGGGAGGTGGTAGGACGTGGGGTGAAGAGGGGATAGTTGTCAAAATTTTCAATAAAGATTAGGGCATGACCAGAGGTAGATGACAGCAGGGGAGAAGTGTGGAAGTTCATTCAGCCAGATGACGTGGACGTCAAGGAGGAAGGGTGTTCAACAAAGATGGCGGGACCTTCTCCCTATGACTTCTGCCGTCTGCCGTCACCTCTGGAGCCATGTGTGTTTAAGCCTCATCAGAAATAGAGGCTGGTCACAGCCACAGGAGGAGGACAATAACACTGTCAACAGTGCCCTCTAGAAGAATAAAGCTTTTGGTGCTTTCCAGTTTTCAATTTGCTTTCAAGGTCCAGTTGAGGACACAGGAGTGGTTTTGCATAGCTAGGACCAGGCCTTGGACAGCTCTGATTTCTCTGCATTTTAACCACCTTCTTGCACTTCTCTCCTTCTGCTGTCTCTCATGTCATAAGATGCAGTGTGTTCTTTTCCTACCTCTCAGAAGCTGAGCTGATAATCCATATGGTCATAGTGTTTAACTTATTATTTTAAAAAATCTTCAAAGATTTTCTAGATGCAAGACCTCCAAGGTTGCTTCTCAGAGACAAAAGCTCTCCATAAAAAACATTAGGGAGTCCGGGCTCTAATTAGTAACGAGGGGTCAGAGTTTTTGTTCCTTTCTGCATCCACGGCCCCTTGTCTCCTCCTCTTTGAAGAGGAGGGAATAGGTGCCCCAGGCTCTAGTTGAATTCAGTTTCTGCTGCCTTCAGTCACATGACTCTGCCAGTACCTGGGAAGTACGGGGGCAGGGCTATGAGGACAACCTCCGCGTGGTTCCTGCTCCGTGATGGGTGTGTTTCTCTGTGGTACGTTTCACATGACCTTTCAACATTTCTTTCAGACAAAGGGCCAGTGACCAGCATTCTCCCGTCTCAGGTAAACAGCTCTCCAGTTATAAACCACCTTCTTTTAGGAAAGAAGATGAAAATGTCAAACAGGGCTGCCAAGAATGCTGTCATCCACATCCCTGGTCACACAGGAGGCAAAATATCTCCTATCCCCTATGAGGACCTCAAGACGAAGCTCAACTCTCCGTGGCGAACTCACATCCGAGTCCACAAAAAGAACATGACGAGGACCAAGAGTCAGCTGGGCTGCGGGGACACCGTGGGGCTGATAGAGGAGCAGAAGGAGGCCTGCAAGGCCAGCCCCCGGGGGGCGGCAGAGGTGTTTCCCTCTGGCTGTGCAGCCACAGCCCGAAGAGAAGGTGGTGGCTCCCAGGGCAGCGCAGGGAGGACAATCGAGGGCCAGTCTCCAGAGCCAGAGTTTGGGGACGCCGATGCCGATGTGTCTGCGGTTCAGGTGAAGTTGGAAGCCTTGGAACTGAACCAAGGGGCTGCTGCTGCTGAAACGGAGCCCGGGGTGCACCCGCCCCGCCCGCGGCCCTTCCTGGAGCCCCCGGAGGCACCCGCAGAAAACAAAGCCACCAGCAAACCTCCCCAAGGCAGCCACCCGAAAACTGCCATCTTTAGCCCCTTTCCCAGTGTAAAGCCCCTGCGGAAGTCAGCCGCCGCCAGGAATTTGGGATTGTATGGACCTACAGAAAGAACCCCGACTGTGCACTTCCCTCACATGAGCAGGAGCTTCAGCAAGCCCAGCGGTGGGAACAGTGGCACCAAGAAGCGGTGATGTGGCCCAGAAACTGTGATGTCTCTCAGAAACTTGGTATCTAGATTCGCCTTTTCGTGGTAGTGTGAGGGTTCCAGCTGAATGGCTCCTAAAGTGTTTCCCTTGTCCAGTGAAAACAAATAGTCAGGTTCGGAGATGAGCAGCAGTGTATAAACAGGGGAACTGGAAGTTGTATAACGAGAGCAAGAATAGGGATGTTTCCGCGTCCGCTGATAACCGATACAGTGGATTCTTGTGGCAAAATAAATATTGTGGTTTTAAAGTGTGAAGTTTTTCCAAGTGTTCATTGTGAGCTGTTTAGAGACGACGATGTGTCTAGACTGTTAACCGCTCTTCCTTCCTCCTATTTGGGGCGCCTTCAGGGTCCCTGTGACAACACCCCCAAACCTTCCAGTTCTCTGGATGTTGTTAATACTCAAGCATGCACACACTAGCTTGCTAGAACAGAAAGTGTAAAAAGAAAGTAAGTTTCTTAGTTGCAAAAAACTTCCCAACTTTCCTCTTGATGCCCTGTTGGGGGGAATGTTTGTGTGTGTAAATTTTCCTGCAGTAGTTTCTTTTAGCCAATCTCAAAATTGTTTTTTATTCTTATGATAAAGTGCAGAAGAAAAATCTAGATAGCCTTTCTTTCCCTTTCTGTTTCTACCTGTGAAATGAAGAAGACCTTTCATCTGTTGAAATTGAGGTTGATCGCGGACCTGAAGACCTCACGCAGAGAACACAGATGGAAAGTGCATTAAGCGATTGCTCTGAGCAGTCTGCTGATTCCACTGAGCTCTCCCCACGGTTCATTCTCTCCTCATAAGGAGAGTTTGGTCCTCAGTGGTGGGATGACGTGACGGGCTCTCCGTGGAGCTTGTCCTGTGTCCTCCGCCACGTAGCTCATTTACCTACCAGCTCCCACCGCAGATGCGGCGAGGCCTCTGCTCAAAGCCAGAACATGGCACCTGCAACTCTGTTACTTGAATTTGTGCTTTTTTGATTGGAGTACTTTGTTGAGTACTTTGTTACTTGAACACTGCCCTTCTCTGGAGAAGGCATTAGTGCTTTCTAGCTCTCTCACCCACTCCTCCCTGGTCCCAGCAGGTCAGAGACAGCACCCTTTATCTCCACTATGCAGATGGGAACTCTGAGCCACACCAGGTGAAGTAGCACTTCAGATGCTCAAGGGGAAATCTCCCAGGATTCCATGTGTCTAGCCACATTTCCTCCAGGACAGTAGACAGGTCTAATGCTCTTTGTACGCAAATGCATTGGCTACATAGTTTCTAGAAACCGAGACTGGGAAGCCATTCGCTACACTCCCTCCTGACTCAGAGGACCCTTCTCTGGATGGCACAGAGTCCTGCGATGGCGTTTCACAAAACCAGCTCTGACTTTCTTGCCTGAAAAGGTGGTTCATTTTTAAATGCTTCATGCAGCTGTCACTTGGCTGAACAAAAGGCTCACTCCTCAATCCCCTTCTCCCACCATCGTTAGAAGAATAGGCTCAGCATCTTCATCCTCATCTCTGGAAGACCTAGGCCATGCTTGCCGGCATGTTGTTGATGCAGTCAATATTAATCTGAGCTAATTGGATTGCTAATTTTGAAACCAAAGCTATAGTTTTCGAGAGGGCTATTACTGTGAGAGGTACTAATTTTTATAATAAAATAGATGATGTGGTTGTCTGGGCTTTTTTGAACAGAAAACACCAGAAGGACATATACAGTCAGAAAAGCCATTTTATCCCTTTCATGGTATTTTTACCCCCAAAGGAACTAAAGATGGGAAATATGACTAATCAGTTATCGCAGTTTTGGTCTTGAATTCTGTGCCATCTGAAGTTAGCATACAGCCTCTCACAAAGCAGCCGCGCCCACAGCCTGCGTCTTGGGAAGGGTGTAGGTGGAGAGTGGGGGTTACTTTGCATACCACGCCGGGTCGAGACCCACTGCATTTTCCAAAGTTGAGCAAATGACATGATTTTCTTCCATCTGCTAAACTTTATGGATAAGAATGATTCTACTTTATATTCTTTTCTCCTCCCCCGTCCCAAATGAGTCAGAATAGTCACATTCCCCTTGAAGGATGTCTGACTTGAATAGAGAATTGTTTTTTCCTCTCTTGAGTCAGCTCCCAGCTCCCGGAGGGTCAGGGTTCAGGGAGGTGGGTAACGGGGGTGGGGGTGGGGGAGGACACTTACTATAGTCCTTAGGATGGCGTCACTGTTGTCTACCAGCTGTCTTAGTGTTAGCAGCACATGCCACCTCCGTTTCCGGTGTCGGTCCTCCTGAGAAAGGGATGGATGATATGGCACACGGTCTGGGATAAGTATCTGTTGAATGAATGAATAACTCAAAGGATAATAGTCCTTTGAGGTAAAAAGACCTTGTCAGGATGTTAAAAACCAACAGATTCCTGTTAAAGCACTCTCTGTACCAATAACGTGCTTGCGTAGTACCCTGTAATCACAGTGTGCGTGGGTCAATTTATGAGCCTTGCCTACGTTAGAAAATAGAGAAACCTACAGTACCCTCTACCACGCAGCATGTGCAAAGACCAGTATGGACTTGTGATCGTCCCTGCATATTGGACCCCGTATGCAAGCACCAGAAGTTCTCACCAAGTAGCGGGTTCTTTATTTCTAGATATGTCTGTACCCTGTCAGCTCTTCAGCTGGGAGTCAACTCCTTTGGATGCCTCTGCACCTCAGTCCTCTTCCAAAAGTCTCCAGATGATCTAAACCTAGTTTGTAATGTCGACCTATGGGCTGTAACTGTTTGGGACACTGTATTCCTTTTTTTGTCTCTCCTGTTATTCTGAAGAACTGTACTGATCGCAAAGATGCATAAAGATTCTTGTAGTCGTAGCTGTTGTGATGTTTTCTGTCTGAGCGCACGCACACGACGCTGTTGGGACCTTCCTGTTCCCCTTCTCTTTTCAACTTTCCCCCCACCTTGGTCATGTGCACCAGGGAAACAGCCCAGTAAGCTCTGTCTCCCCCAGTCTGATCCCTGGGTTGCAGGGTGGCCTGTGACCTGCCAAGATCTTGGCAGAATGGTGGGATCCTGAATATGAATAAGCAGAGAGTTGACTTACAAAATGTGTGTGTGAGTGTATATTGTGTATAGAATTAACCTTCAGATCTGTCATTTTCCTTTGTTTTAATAAAGCAGTAACAATAAGAGTGCAGTTTAGCTTCCTGGTCTCATGGGTTCTGGATGAATGGAGAGCTGTGATCAAGTATGCCGCTGCTGCCGTCTCCCCTCAGAGGGTCTCCCTTTACTCTTTCGGAGCCACTTTCTCTGCTGCCTACAGCAATCATTTGAGGCAGCATTTAAGATATATTATTTTTCCTGATTAGGAAAGTAACACATGTTTTAAGAAAATTTGGAAAACAGCACAAGGAATCATCAATATTCCGGTATGGATCTTTCCAGGATGTTCTGGTGTGTGTGCATGTGTGTATATACACATTGTTATCTATAAAAAGGTAATTGAGCAAACTAGTTTCAGGTGTCTTTCCAGTGAATGCGCTTATACAGCAGCACTCTCAGTGACTGGTATTCCATCATGTGTTTATGCCAGAATTCACATAACCAGGACCGTGTCAAAGATGGTTTCCGACTGTAGATAGTGCTGGAGAGAGCATCCTCACAGTCACGTCTTTGTGCACAGCCCTAAGTGTTTCCTCAGTGTATGTTCATCGAGGTGAAGTTGCTGGGTCAGAAAGTATGTATATTTTTAAGTCTTATATCTATTGCCGCATCGCCATCCTTAAAGGTTGAACTTATCAGACGACAGTGCACAAGAACGCCAGTTTCTCTGCACCCTGGGAAGAGGCAGCAGTTTCTTTCTTGGCTTTTTTTTTCCTAGGATCTCCAGTGTTGATAGAAGCAGTGATAATGGGCACTCATATCTTGTTCCTGACTTTTAAGGGAACCATTAAGTAAGATGTTTGCTGAGATTACTGGTAGGTATCTTTTACTAGGTTAAGGAAACTACCTTTTATTCTTTGCTCACTAGGAGTTTTTAAAAAGTCATCAACAAGTATAAATCAAATGATCTCTCATTGCATTTGAGAAGGAAGTAGTGCTTGAGACTTGCTATCTTGAACTGGAGAAAATAACCATTACCAGGTTTCAGCCAAGAATATTAGATAATTTAGAGTTGGAAGTGATAGCAGTAAAAGTTTTATGTGCAAATTTTCATGGCAGTATTAGATTTACTAGTGGAAACATTGTACACATCTGAGACTAGGGGATGGAAGTGTTTGGGCCATTAAAATGGCAGTTATCTAGTATCCACAGGAAGCAGTTCAGATTAAAGTCAGCAAAGTCTGGCATCGTAGAGCCACCAGGATACAGCTAGAGATGGAGGCCCTTACAGGACGGTGGCTAAAAGTAGAAAGCGTGGTGGCCCTTCCACAAAGGCAGCCTGTGCCCCATTGAATGGGGACTGAATGGGGACCGGTACACTGTCGGGGAGGATCAGCTCCCATGGGGTTCCCTGCCGGCCAGCTCCTGAAGCTCGGTCAGCCTCTTTCCTGGAGCTCAGCTCTGGTCAGACCCATCGACCTCCTGCAAAGTCAGGCTCGTTCCCTTCTCTTCATTCCTTCCAGCACAGGAAACCCTCATCTGATTGCTCCACTGTGCACTCTAGGGGTCTCAAGAGTCTTTTTTTGAAGTTAAAAAACCAGAAAGTTGACTGTTTCTTAATATTTGCGTTTCTGTTATAACCCTTCTAGTTTTCCTGTAGGCAATGCTAATCCTTGGGAAGGAGGTGGATCCGTTCCCCTAAGGGGCCAGCAGCTGTCTGGGCTGGCACTAGCTGATTCCTCAACTGAGGCATCTCCCCACCCTGGAGAGTCCAAGAATCTGTATTAAAACAAAACAAAGCAACAAGAAAACAAAAAAACTAACCTACTGATTTTGACACAACTAGATTTGGCAACCACTGGTCAATCAAACTATTTTAACGGTCTCTTAACTAGTTTCCCCCACCCCACCCCACCCCACCTCACCCACCTCTCTCTGCTGCTGTAACTACACATTGCCGCCAGAGTGCTCCTTCTAAAACAAAACGCTGATCAGGCCATGCCTCCCGTCACAACCCTTCTACCCATTCCCCATTTTCAGGGGGATAACATCTAGAATCCGTCTCTTATCATCTGGCCCATGGTTATTTTTCCAGCATATTGTCCCACCATCTTTCCCGTTCATTGCTTTCTGCGATCTGTCATCATTGGCACAATAACATGAACAATAACATTGGCACAGTTGTTGAGTTCCCACGTGCTGGGCACTGTACTAGCTCCTTTACATACGGTATCTCACTTGCTGCTCCCAAGGACCCCACAAAGCGTATTATCCCGGGATTACAGCTGATGAAAGTGAGGTGAGTGGTTATGTCCTTGACCGCAGTCACCTAGCGGAGTCCTGATCCCTCTGACACCAGAGCCGAGCTGTTTCCTTGCTACACTGTCTGACAGCTTTGCATACAACGTGCAATTCCCTGAAAGCTCCTTGCTCTCCCGACACCCTCCCGCTGTGTGTTCATAGACCTCTGCCTTGCACAGCCTCCTTGCTCCCGGGAGACACCCACTCATCCTCTTAGTCTTATCACACACATTAATGGGGTCAAATCCCATCTGTGCCACTTTCCAGTTGTATGATTTTGTGCAAGTCACTTAACATCTGGGACCTTCGATTTCCACATCTGTACAATGAGAAGAATAATTTCAACCTCGTAAGGTTTGTTGTGGACATCGGCTGTTTTTGCAGCCTAGAATTAACTGTCTTCCTTTGGCAACAATGCCCTGATTTTGCTTGGGGAGCCAGCCCTCTGCCGCCTCTGTCCATGCACTTCTGGTGAGGTTGATGCCCCTGGAGCACAGGACCAGAGCTAAGCCACTCAGCATTCTCTCTCCTCCCGGCCAAGGTGCCTGACCCATGGACAAGCACACGGGCAAAGAAAAAAAAAAATGGCTCTTGTACTCTTGGGGAAGCTGACTTGCTCCTTTCTACTGGATTTGCACCCGGAGGGAAAAAGTCCAGGAGTTGCTGCTGGCAGCCATCTTGTAACCATGAGGGGACAGCTCGTTGGAGAAGAGAGTCAACACTGAGCAAGTAGAGCTGAGAAACAGAAGCCAGGTCCTTTTCTTATTGTGTGACCCCTGGATCAGGCCA